ATGCCCAGGGAGGTAGTGGAGCATAACCCACACATTGCCGCCAAGGACCTTAACTTTATGTGAGGTCGAGGGACGGCTTGGGCATGGTCAGTGTAAGCACAATGTCAGCATGTGGTCGAGGACGTCCCTGGACTTAGTCGCTTGTTGGACTTCGAGTGCCACCGTACCTCAGCGTCAAGCAGCTACTGGTAGCAGCCAGCAAAACTGTCGGCTTCGTCTTTAGGCACTGCTTGGCTGATGCCAAAACCGAGGAGACTATCAAGATCTTCGCTCGCTCGTCCGTGGAAATCCTGATCCGACAGAGCGGAGGAGAAGGATTCAGAAGCGCCAGACGCGAGCAAAGGTGGACAATCGAATGTCCAAGGAAAAGACTCCATCAGAGAAACCAGAGGTGCACGCTACAGAGCAAAACGGCGCGTTGCGGTGCCTGTGTGAGTGTGGAACTGCAGCAATGACATTTGTGGGCCGCACAGCTGGCAGTCTACGGCACAGGCTTCGTACGCGCGACTGCGACAGGGACTTGACGTGGATTTCGCCAAGGAGCGTTGTATTGCTGGCACGGTGTCGCTCAGTGTGCCTGTCCTCCGACCCAATCAGGACTCGCAATATCAATATCGACGGTTGTCCACCTTCTTCAGGCACTGGGGCCAAAGCAGTCCCGAAGGTCACGGCCTGATTGGGATTGCCTTTACCTCGAAGTCTGTCCTTTACGCAACGGGATATAAGGCCTGAGCTCGCACACGAGGAAGGGGCTGCATCGCATCGTGCGCGCCGGCAGCCGGGCTCTTAGAGAAGTGCTGTTGCTACTGCTTCGCCGCATCTGTTGGATCCAGGAAGCGTTCTGCGTCCTGGCGAAATCCGAGAAGCGCTCTCGTCCATACCACCCATGGCCAGAGAGCATCAGCAGAAGTGTGGTTGCAGCTTGCCAATCCATACTTACAAGAGGTCCTCCCTGGCGACGCAATCATCGAGGACGGGGAGGACAGTGATAAGGAGGCGCATTGGGGACCTGAAGCAGAGCTTGCGGCGCGAGGCAGCGCAGCACTCGACTCGACGCAGAGTCCGCTGGGCTCAGGTGGAGGCTGCCGAGTTTCACTCCATCGGGGAGGATGAAGAGGAGACGCAGCTCGAGGGGTCGGGTCCCCATGGAGCGACCACCAGCCAGCAAGCAGCAAAGGCAGAGATGTCCCGGCAGCAAGTGTGATGCTAGTGGTATAAAGATGGATAGATGGATGTTACCTCCTGCATCGATCCGCTTGTACCAGTCGTGACATCAGTACAGCGATTGACGTCCGGAATTGCGACGGGCTCTTAGGTTCGGATATGATCTCCGGAAGGCCGACTTTCCACAAGGCCACGAGCTGCACAGCTTACTGAGAGCTTTTTGCATTCGAGCCTCGACAGTGATGGAAGGTGACGGGGAACACAGTTGGAATGTCATCGATGCGCAGCTTCCTCAGAGCATGCCTGTGTCTGCGCTTGAAAAAAACAGTCTGGTGGTTTTGGAGCCATGTCAGGTCGACCTACAGGCTGCGATCAGAGACGTATTTTCTGGATGGGCCACTCAGCTCAACTGTCGCAAACGACGCCTCAATATCACAAGCTTTGTCACAAACTCAGACAAGAACTGCCGAGGTCAAAGGAACCCTCTTGCCGGAGACCAACTTGCTAGAGCAAGGGCTTCCCAGGGCCACTCCCTCATTCTGCAACCTGTCTGCATGTCACTGACAGGTCCTGCCATGCTGCAGCTCTTGGATGTCGATGTCAGCCAAATCGGACCCCGCGGCCCCGTTGTTGAATCAGTCCGCACCTTCGTTGCCCCACAGCACGAACGTGTTCATGTGCTGCTGCTCCCAAAGAGTATCGTAAATGTGCGGGATGCGAGGCGCGACATCCTGACTTCTCCTGCCAAGCTCGAAGCTCGGCATTGTGACGCCTCTTTGGCTCTCTGGGTGCGTTGCTCTGGCTCCCGGAGGCCATTCGACGAGGAGGGGATGGACGCTTCCTCTTCATACTGAACTTCATTATGCCGCCCTACCAGGCTCTTTCGTGTGGGCTTGTGCTGGCCTCCCGGCCCTTAAGCTCTGCTCCTGAGGCCATCATGACAGCTGCCGTGGATCCATCAGCTGCTTGGCTGTCGGATCCAGCGAGTCCGCAGGCCTTTTTGCTGTGCAGCTGCGAGCAGCTGCGATCAGCTGCGAGCACGGTGGTGTTCTCCCACATGACCAAAGCGAGCTCAGAGCTCTGCTCGCAGCTTTTTGGAGGCGCGCGTGTGGCACCGCTTCCTGGCAGCGAGCCACGAGGACGCCGCTAGCATCGTGCGAGATGCCTGCGGAAGTTGGACCTCACTGAGGAGCAGAAGAAGAAGCTGAAGGTCATCTTTTCCGTGGAGACGGGCCCTTGGGTGTGCGGCTCGTGGTCTTTTGTATTTTGCTTTGCCGCTTTGCGTCCAGTGCATGGGGGAAGCCTTCAGGTGGTGAAGAAAGTCGCCCTCAAAAAGCCCACCCTCATCGGGATGAAGATTTCCATGGACTTTACCTCAGATGGCATGGGATAAAGGCGAATCGAATGGAGAGGATCTTCGCCGGTGCTCAGGAAAGCCACTACCAGCCTGAGGACTACCTGGAGATCACCTTGGACGTGCGGCTCCTAAGCATGGCTGTTCGAGCTCCCCTCAGAAGCCTGGGCCAGGTCACCAACGGAGGGAGGGGTGGAGGCTACGAAGAAATGGCCTGAATCTTGGAAGCCCAGTGGCTCTACCAGTGGCTGTACCAGCACATTCTTCGCGTGAGGTTACTCGCATGGTCTTGTGACCAAGCTGCAACTACGCCAGGCTTGACCCAAGCAGCCTGCCAGCAGTGCCCCAAGGCGCCACGTGAAGAGCTTGGAGTGTGGCCTGTGCTGCCTGATAGAGGTGCGACCTACAAGGGGGTTCTTGGTGTCTCTGCTCTTTTGCTGAGCATCTTGATAGGCAACTCAGGAGGATGAGCTGCCAGAGTCAACAGCTCAGGGCACTCGAGCGGCTCTTTGCGACTCTGCTAAAGCGCCGAAGCACAAAGGTGTGCGCTCTTCGCTTTCCTTGCTTCGCATCCGGCTGGGCACCCGGCTGGAAAATGCTGGAAGCTCGGCAACGATGTCGCTGTCTTGCAGGACTTTGAGAGAATGGCTCTGGCGGTGTCTGATTAAGTCGCTGAGCCCCTCAACCGCGGGACGTTCTGATGCCACCCGCCCTGTGCCAATCCTTTGCTTAGCTTTGATTATGCTCTAGTGCAATAGTTCTCAATAGTGGCAACTGCTGCATTCGGCCGTTCAAGATGAAAGGCTGTCCTGCATGCGAGATGATGGTTCCGTCCTAGACTAGGGAAGGCGCAAGCATGCCAAAAAGCCGAGACAGCTATTGCTGCATGCCGATCGTCACTCCTGGGCTTGTTCTGCTTTGCTCAACCGCTCGTGACGACGGCATGTGCAGCCATGCGTCAGGCACCGGAAACGCAGACCCACTGACTGCGCCTGCACCGAACTGGATTGGGCCGTGCACCACTCAGTCACTCAGGCTAATGCGATCTCATCTTCCTGCCTGCGCCTATGCGACTTGCTTCCTGGTCCCCCATGTGCATAAGGCCTTCTCTGATCTGGGGCGATGCAGACGTCCGGTGTGTCTTGAACTCAGTCCTTGTTGAAGGCTCAAGTGCTTTCATGTCAGTGGTGTCAGGATGTGGATGTCGCGACCGGGCGGATCTTGACAGCCACCGTTCTTGCCTCCGAGCGGCCAGTTCCCAAAGCTTTCAATGAGTCGAAGTCTGTTGAAGGATCTGCATGACTACTTGGCGGCATGTTGAGCTGGTTCTCAGGGAGATCGAAGCCAACCGTGACTACCAGCTGACGATATTCGTGACTTGGCGATGTTAGCACAGGCTCCTGCAGCTGTCGCTAACAGCCGTGAAAGGCTTGAGCTCCGAGGTGAGAAACCCGACCCTTTCGATTCCGGCCTATGAGGTGCCTTGAGACATCGCTCCGAATACTTGTGGACGACAGGATTTCTTCCCTTTGGCCCAAACAATGGTGCATGCTCAATGGGTACATGCAGGGTTCTTTAGCTTAGAGCCGGCGTGTTGCTTCGTCCCTGAGCTTGCAACTGTATTGGCTTTGGTGAATGCAGGAAGCCATGTGGAACGTCTGGCATCTGGACACCTTCGACAGCCCAGGGTCATCTGGTGCTGGGTGCTCGATTCAACCCACCCGTCGCAGATATGCTTCCCAGTTTTTAAATGCCAATCTCGCCACGAACCTATAAGGTCTTGCCCACCTTCCGCGACTCAATAACCTTGCCCGCGACTCAGAGCGAATCTTGGCCTTTCTTCCGAAGCCACGCTTTCTCGCGGCAAGGCCGGGATACCCTGTCTACAACAAAGCCCGGCAGTGGGTGGTGCGGAATCAGGAGCGATGCCAGCTCATCTCACGACTTCTCGCTCGCACATGCTCGCGCTGTCGCCCTTGAAGGACCCTGTCACGGGTGCGACGTACCGCAACGGGCTCCGAGCTCAGCTTCTAAGAGATCCAGTCGCCGCTCTCGATGTACCGCCACCAGGCTCTCTGAGATTCCCGGACTCTTCGTCCAGTTCCAGCTGCCAACAAAGCTGGTTCCCGGAGATGTCCAAGCCCAAGACGCCAGCCGAAAGACGGCGGGAAAAGGACGCTGAGCATTGGTCTGCGCCGCTGCGTCCTGCAGGTCATTGCCATCGAGGCTCCGACTGGCTTCAACTTCATGACGGCGGTGTCCTCATGTCCTCATCCTGTAAAACGACGAACTTCTGCGATTTTGATGCGCACCGAGGGTCCGCAAGATTCGTGCGCCGACTTCCGCTGGGAGCCGATGGAGGCCCCCGACGTGAGAAGCGAAAGCGCATTCAACGTGGTGTAAAGTTTGGAACTTGGCAAGCTCATCCTCGAATTTCGGCAAGACACCTTTGCAGGATGCATTCCTGTACTTGCCCAACTCCATGATCACTTGTATCGACAACATGATCACCATTCAGGATCTCTTCTTTCTGTGGTGGGTGTTTTCAGCAATAATGCTGTTGCTTCCACTAGACGTGCGCAGGTCCAAGAGCCGAAGAATATTCCGGAACTGCGTGTGATGATGTTCCGGCTGACCTCGCGAAACCCTGCGAAGACTCCGCATGCTCTTGGCTCGGCTTTCGCTCTGCTTGATTCAGAAGCACATTCTGCACTTCTCAGCTTTCTGAGACAGTGGTGTGACAGAGACGCCCCTTGCGTTCCGAGACATTCCTCAACCACTGGAGCATCACTCACACGGCCAGTGGTGCAATCATGAGCACGGAGGCGGGAACGTGCGAAAGACTAGTGACTAGAAGATTCTGCCCGCACCGGTGCCCAGCTCTGGAAGCCGGAAAAGCAGTTGGATGCAGCAGCAAAGCAACCAGCAGCTGCCAGGCCATCAAAAGCTGGGACGTTGTCCGTGGCTCAGAAACTGACAAGAAGAGCAACGATTAGATCAATATTGCCAAGCGTTGAATTGCTAGTCTGATCGGAGAGTCCCAACATTAAGCAGCAGCAAAGCGAAGACTCGGAGTGGTAGCACTAGAAACAGTAGCAACGACCAGAATGCTTGTAGCAGTAGTAGTAGTAGTAGTAGTAGTAGTAGTAGTAGTAGTAGTAGCAAGTCAAGACAAAAGCACGGGAGATGGCAGCAAGAAAGTGTATTGACACTCGCCTTTGTAGCATGTTTGATAGTCACAATAGTAGTGGCAGTACTAACGACAGGAACAGACAGAGTGGTGGCGGTAGGAGTAGCAGCAGCAGTAGTGGGAGGAGGAGCAGGAGTAGCAGTAGCAGTAACAGTAGCAGTAGCAGTAGCAGTAGCAGTAGCAGCAGTAGCAACAGTGTAGCAGCAGTAGCAGTAGCAGTAGCAGTAGCAGGAGCAGGAGCAGGAGCAGGAGCAGCAGCAGGAGCAGGAGCAGGAGCAGGAGCAGGGGCAGGGGCAGGAGCAGCAGCAGGAGGAGTAGTACAGTAGTCGTAGTCGTAGTAATAGCATCAGCAGCAAGAGCAGCAACAGCAGCAAGAGGAGTAGCAACAGCAGCAGGAGGTGTCGGAGTAGCAGCAGCAGCAGAAGGAAAAGGAAAGAGGAGTAGGGAGAGTAGGAGGAGCAGGAGGCGGAGCAGGAGAATAGGAGGAGTAGGAGTACAAGTACAAGTATGAGTACGACGACGACGATGATGATGTTGATGATGATGACGACGACGACACGACGACAACAGCAAGAACAATGAGAAGAACATTAACAGTTGCAACGCTTTCGGAGCCTTGTGAAGTCACTGAGTAGTGTTAAGCTTCGCGCCATGTCGTGAGGTTCCACAGCTTGCCAACGTGAGGGTCATGTTGGTAGGGGAGCAGAAGGCAGAAAATTCGGTCCCGGCCTCTGTCGGAGGCTGCGAAATTGACTTGGTCGCCCTCTGCGAATTCACTTTCGTCACTGCAGGTGTCCACGATGGCCGTCTCGTACAGACCTGTCTCCGATGCAGACGAGCTCAGCCTTGAGGCCCGGCTCCAACCCCCCCCCCCCAAGTCCAAAGTGACGTTCAGTTCTTTTGGGGGACGCGTCACTGCTGCAGGCGCTGGAGCCAACCGGCTTTGACTTCACTGGTGCTTCGGCCATCTCGCTGGGCCACGAGGTCTGCGATCCGCAGAAGATGCAGCGAGTTACACGTCGACGATGCCAGTGAGGTCATTGCAACTGACGCCGAGACGATCCGAATCCGGGCATCTACTTATGCGGAGGCCGGGCAGCATGCCGAAACCTGTGGGAAGCTGCAACACAGGGGCGCCTTTCTGCTTCTTTCCAGGTCAACGTGGACATCGTCATTGCGAATTTCCGGCTGGGTCTGAACGGGGGCCCGACGCTCTTCAACCTCATTACGAGACTCAATAACGGGGTTCAAGCCCCAGCTCTGTTCTTTTTGCTCACTGAGTTACAACGTGGCATTGGCATAAGTGATTCCTTCTCTTGCAGGCTCAGATGGATGAGGCGCTCAACTTTCGTTCTGGCTTCCGACTGCCGGGCAGAGCGGCTTGGCAAATCAGTTGGTGAGTAGCTCGATTTCGAAATTCGCCAGATGCTGCCGCCCTGCGTAACTGCAAGTGCCGCCGCAGCTGAGGTTGCTGTTACAGGGAAGCAGATCAGCAGTGAGTGAGCCAGCTGCTGTGACAGCCGCGCTAGTGATTTATCTTCGGTTGTCTGCTCTCGAAGGCTCGTTTGGAAGGATGTGAAGTTCATGAAACCCGCAAGTGAGGTACAAGCTGATGCCAGAACTGTATCCCGTGCCATCTCTTTGGGAGGCCTTGCGAACAGTAAACTGGGCGTCAAGGGAGTGCAGCCTGACACAAGAGGTCCGTATGGGGGAGTTTGCGGTTGTCGAGCTGCCCTTCACTGTTACCATCAACTCGGCGGCCTAGTCCTCAGTACAAGCGCAGGCAGACAAGCCACATAATACCGCCCGGGCCATTGAAGTCCCGCTGCAGGTCGGCAACTTGATGCGCTTGAGAGCTCCCCCATACGACCTGCAGGTGCACGGAGCCTTCTGCATTCAGTTCTTGAACGACCCTGCGGAGGTTCCACCTGGAGCCCTCGTACTGCTTGGCTGCACAGGCCCAGGACTTCAACATCATTCAGAGCGGAACGGCTGAGACCGTGACCTCCGAGGCCGCATCACAATCACGTGTGCTTGTGCTCTCGCACTTTGATCTTTGGTGCCGTGGTGGAGGTCACGAGCACATCTTCCGGCGAGATGGTGGTTCGTCTCGGGACGCAGCTCTTCAGAGGAGTTCTCTACGAGGCTCTTACAGTAGAGCTTCTCCTGCGGGCAATCCGTGGCTCTTGATGGGTGCCAGGCCTCGGTGAGAGCTCTCACTCCGAGAGTCCCGAACCCCACAGATGCCATGTGGAGCATCGAGGTGGCCGCCATGACAAGAGTTACTGAGACACTTTGAACGCCCCGAGTCCCAAAGTGCCACAGCCATTGGCTTAGAATGCTTAGCTTAGGGTGAAGACGCAAGTGGCCATGCCACGTGCTCGAGTTGTCGCGATCTTCCTGGTGTTTCAGGTCTTCCGGGTCACCTTAGCCGGTCCAAACACCACCTTCGTCAGACGCCTGCAGGACGAGGCTTGGGGCGACCAAGGCCACTGCACGGCAAACTTCAATCCGGCGGAAATCAAGGCCGACCCGAGCCACAACGATCCGCAAAGGTGGGTGGACGCCCACAATTATTACAGAGCCTGCCACGGAGTTCCTGGGCTGGCATGGGGAGAGGAGCTGGTCCAATATGCCAAAGCCTGGGTGGAGAAGCTTCTACAGCATTGTGCGAGTGGGGCAGACCTGGCGGCATGGGCGCAGGCATCGTCGGGCAGGCCCCATGACCCCAACCTCTACACGGGTGTAGAGCTGCCGCAGCAAGCGGAGAATTTGGATGCCCGCCAGTTCAACTCAATAAACGATCCGCCGGAGGAAAGTGTCTGGGACTGGTATAAGGAGGTCCAGGAATGCCAGGGGCAAGGGAGCCAGCCGGGCTGTGGTGTGGAGTTGAACCATTACACTGCTCTCATTTGGAAGGACGCACGTCGCGTTGCTTGCTGGGTTGGGCTCCGTGGAGACCTGCGGGTCGTGAGCTGTCGTTACGCAGCCGCTGCTGGGGGTTCAGATGCGGGGTGCAGCGTGCCTAACACTGTTGGACCTCCTAACACCGGCGGCTGCCAGCACGGAGTCGGCAATTCCGGCGACCCGGAGGTACCAGCTTTGGTCAAGCAGTGTCCGAAGATGCAGCCTCCGGTTGCACCGGAGGTGGCACCGGCATTACCACCACTTCCGCCACAGCAAGCACCCCCAAGCCATGAGCCCTGCATAAATCACATCTGCATGCTCAGCTGCATCCAGAAAGGTCAGCTGGGTGCGTGTGAGCGCTGCCTCCACAGTGAGCAATGTGCAGATGGATTCTACTGCTGCCCCTTCATGAAAAAGTGTGTTAAGGATGGTGGGCAGCAGTGTCTGACCCCGATCGCCTTTTGCCAGCCTCCGTGCATGGACAGCCAGCCCATTGACCAGTGCTCGTGTCATCCCAAGCAAACTGACGACAAGTTTCCATGGGGCTGGCAAAAGCCTACTTGCAAAGCTAACCAGCAGCCACAGGTGGTCACAACCACTCCCAAGCCGACTACACCGCCCACCAAGCTAATCTTCTCAGGAGTAAAGAACCCAGCCCAGTGGGACCGCTTGAGTGGTTTCGTGCGCAGCAAGGTGGTAGAGTGGAAAGCATCCAAACTCTGTGCAAGCATAGATGCCACAACACCATCACCGCAGCAGCAGGATGTCTTCCTGTCTGCAAAGGCTACCTTTGCGTTGACCTTCAGTGACATGAGTGGCCTGACCCCGGCCACAAGCGAGTTTGAAGGCATCGTACCAGAGATGCAAACCACAAGCCAAGCAGAAATTGACAAGCTCTGCGGTGCTACTGTGCAGCGCCTCTTCGCGGCGGACGTCTTGCATACGGTCGAGCCGCCGGGGTCACGTCTTAGCCCGATCGTGGTCTTGCTGTCAGCAGCGCTGATCATCTCGTTGGCGCTCTTTGCCTTCTTGCGACGGCGTCCTGCGGAGCCTCGGCTCGGTCAGGGTCCAGGGGCCACAGGGGCCACTGTACGAGCCATGCATTTTTTTTCTGCCGCAAGGTCCTCTGCCCTTGATGTAGCAAAGCCCAGTTCTACCTGCCAGGCTTCTGCATCGGCGGGCGCTGAGCTGACGGATGAAGCCTCCAAGCTTCTCGTGGGTGTGATCGCTTAGTTAGGCTTATAATTTGGCAGATACCATGCCTGTAGCATGGAACCTGAGCTGGGCTGGGAGACTAGAAGACGCATGGCAGTGTCGTGTTGGATCATGACTCGAGATGTACAGCTGGTCACTATTTCACATCCAGCTTATCAGCTTATCTCCGTGCCACCGCATGCTGAAGGCAAGCTGGTGCTTCATGGAACGCCTCCTCAGTTCCCAGTTTTTCGACGTCATCCTTCCGGTAACCGGGGGAAGGACCACTTGGGACTTGATATTAGGCAAATTCTCTGGTGCCTTATGACAAAGCACCGTGTGCGTGAGCGGTGCCTTCGGCGAAAACTGTCGCATCGCTTCGTATGGTAGCTTGGCAGCGAATCCGGAGACGCAGTGTGCGATCGCTTGCAGATTCTGGATGGCAGCCAGCTGCCCTTGAACACCAACGACGGGCTCACCGAGGCAAATCCGGCGCTACACAAGGAAAACCTCAGACGTGCCTTCTTTCTGAGCACGTTGGCAGGGCTTCCGTCTCGTGGAGCGGGCAGAGCTGACAGCCGCTTGACTAGAGATATGTTTTCTCACTGTGGCAGATTCGGGTCTCTTGCGTCGGTCAAAGTCTCGAAGCGTACTGCAACGAGAGCGAGGTGCGGGCCACGCGTTCACCTCCAATGGCCGCAATTGATGTTAACGTCCTCACCTCAGCAGAGTGTCGCAACATCGTGCGCGCACTCGCCCATGCGCTGCCTAGTTGGTGGTGGACCCGAAGTCTTCCCAGCCGGACGAGCTGATCCTGGTCGCACCTCTTGGCTTCAACTTCACGCCGTGGCTAAGCGACGAATTCATTATTTCATTTGCGTCAAGTCCTGTCACTGTGAACTGAAACTCACTCCTCAGGAACTGCCTTGTAACGAGTCCGATACCCAGAATGCTTTTGTTGCAAGCTTCATGGCTTCCAGTCTGCAGAATCGAGGCTCTTTCAATCGCGTCACTTCCTGCCAGTTGTGTGAGGCTCAACATCGGCTTTTTCAGTGGCCTTTGCACCGCTGCGGCCATGATGGGTGCACTACCAAGGCACGGTAACGTGGCCGGACGAGCTTCCGCTCGCCTCACTGTTGCACGTGTGCGGCTCGGTAAATCTTGCTATGCTCCTTTTGCATAGTTGCTGTGAGTAGTGGTATTGGCTGACAGACTCAGGCCTAACATCCGTGCTCGAGCAGGTTGTGGAGACCCAAGCACAGCAATGCCCAACCAAAGGTAGTAAAGTAAGGGCAGCTGATAGTCCATCCAGTTGTGGTTTTGTCCATGCCTCTGTTGCATGCTCATGAGGTGATCAAGGTGACAACACCGGCGCAGAATCCCCCCAGCACCAGCTGGTTTATCAACGAACCTCGGCTGCTCTCGTTCGCAGAGAGAGAGGAGAGCACCCTTATTGCATCCGCAGCTTCTAAGCTCTGCAATGCTCTGAGGCCCGGGATATGGCCAGTGACCTGCAGCTCGCGTGGGGAGAGGAAATCGCCCAAGCGTTGCTCGCGCTCGGGGTGTGTGTTGCTATCGGGGATTTCGTTTCATCTCAAGGATCCCTCCGGGGTTCTCATTCGGCAAATGTTGGGTGTGGAGCTCAGGAAAGACATAACGAGTCTGGACGCTCCGATCTTCTTCTCTTGACAAGCACTTCTGTGCTTCAGGTGCGCATGTCCTGTATCCCGGCATTCCACAAATTCCTGGCCAGATGGCTTTCAGTTTTATTACGAATGCGGCTCGCCTCAGAAGTCAAAGCTCGTGTGAGATCGTTACACTTATGCACCTGGCTTTGCAGAGCTCTCAGGAAAAAATCGAGTCGGGTGGAGCCATTCGTGTTGGCTATCCGACGTCGCTTTGGCATGTCTTTCAACGATGACCTCAGCCGTTCTTAATCTGTGTGCCGACAGGGACATCGAGGTCCTGTGCAATGGCCTGTACTTGAGCCAGGCGCGGCAAGGTTGCTGAAAACGGAAAAGTCCAGGGAGCTCGAACAGCCGGGCATGGGCAGGTGGCGATTACTGGTGAGGTGACCTGCATGAACTTCATCCAGGAGGCGCTGAATCACTGCTTTCTCGCAAACGCTTTTACTTTCCTCGTCCAACAGGGCTACTTCGAGCTGCGGCTGGACAGACCGCTTCCCCCTGGCCAGCAAGCTTTTACGGCAAGGGCCTTGCACCAAACGTAGTGTGAAATTACACAGGAAGCTGCTGATGCTGCTACGACTGCTGACTCTGCTTAGCCAGGTCACTAGCACCTGCCCAGCGGCTGTGAATGACAATGTGTTCTACATCATCATTCTTACGCCAACTGGTCAGGCAGTCAAATCAAGACACCATTCGAGACCGGCTTGAATTGCAAAGAAAGCCGAAAGGTGTCAGACGCAGCAATGAGTATTCCTGGCCTACGGATCCAACACGGCCTGCCAATTTCAGCAATGCCTCTAATCTGGGGCATGGCAGAGCCGAACAGGCCGCTCATCCGAATGGTGTTCTGATAAGAGCTTCACTTGTAGCAGCTTATGGACATCCTGGCACAGACTCTGAGGAATACGTTCGTCAGCACCGGCATTGAGCTGCTCGCAGAACTGCCGCTCAAGGCCGTGTCCAGGTCCCATCTTGGACGGGGCCTGTTGGCCTTGTGTGATGCAGGATCCACCCATCATGAGCGAGATCATCATTGAGATGCCTCCGGACTTTTCCCACCAGGCAGAAGCGGGAGGTTCAAGAATCCACCGAAACGAAGAGCCGAAGAGCCGGAGGTCCAGAAGACAGCGCAGCTGGAGACCTTGACGGAACCACTTCCACGAAGAGAAGGCTAGGTGAGATTGAAGACGGGACACACATCGATGCAGTGATGCCTTCGAAGTCTCCACTTCCGCAGAGGCGGCTGGTTAGACGTCACAGATCCACGAAGGCCACGACTGTAGTTTATGCTGCAGTCTGTTCGGAGCAAGGTTGTTTTGGCCAGAGCGTGGCAGGCTGAGGCTGCTAATGGATGAGGAAGCCATACAAAAGCTGGCCATCGGCTCGTACAGGCCACTGTCGTCAGTCATCTCACCATGTTTCCGATTGTTGCCACTGACATCAACATTACTCAGCTGTTAGAGCCTTGGTTTTGGTGGCTGCTGTGGTTGGGGTTCTGGTTGGGGTTGGGATTGGGGCCGTGGCCGTGGCTGCGGTTGTGGTGGTTGTGGTGGTGGTTACGGTTGTGGTTGTTGTGATTGTCGTGGTTGTGGTTGTAGTCCTGGTAGCCGTCGCCGCGGCTGCGGCCAATATTGAACCTTATGACATTGTCGCCTCCATAATCATCGTTGTTTGTGTCGCCAGCATTGTTCATGTTTCTGGGGCTACCATGGTCATGATGGTGATACTTGTTATTGTGCTCTTCTTGTTTTTTGTTTAGTTTTTTGTTTCGCCAAGTTGGCTGTTTCTGCAAGAGCTGCTGTGACCACGTATAGAGCCTGCCAGGATAACACCGTGTGTGAGCTGGCATCTGCTAGCTGCTCGCAGGTTCCAGTGGCCCATCATGGTGCCCGCCGTGATGCCAAAGTATAATGTTGCGAACTAAGCCGTGGTATTTTTCTTTGCATGCAGCCGATGGATCTTTGGCTGGAATATCCTGCATGCTAAGATCTGGGAGCTGACCGTCTGCAGTCCAGCCATTCGGAATGAGTCCTGCACGGGTTCCGATGATCCGCGTGCTGCTGCCTGAGTCCGGTGCAGCTGGGCGAGCTGTACCTTGGAAGACCATGCTGCAAGATGCAACTGCTTGGGGGGACATGCCATGTTGAGGCCTTGGTCAGCTTCCCTTTGGCAGGCTTTGGAATGGGTGAGGCTCGAACAGTCACGTGCAGCCTCATGCTCCAACTCAGTCCGTATTCGTGACACGCCACTGCAACACTAGGTTCAAACTTCATGTTGCAAAGACAGAACCCCTGCAGTCTCATCCTTCGTCGATCGCCTTTACTCAAACTGGTGACGCATCGCCGGTGCGGGCCAACTGGTCGGCGGTGAGCCCAGATCCATATGCCAGATGCTGTCCTAGTGTAGAAGCTAGCGGGCCATGACGGCCGTGACCTCAAAAACGGCCATAGCATGTGTCGTGGATTGCAACACCTGAGGTGCTTGCACTACTTGCAGCTGTCGCCTGGAGACATGTACGGGAAGCCTGAGGCTTCACCAAATTTAATGCCTTGAGAGCTCCCCTGTGGTGACTTCAGTAGCTCATGAGCCGCCGATACTCCACCGGCCATTTCGAGAACTCACAAGGCTGAAAGGTTCGCTCTTCTCGGTGCAAAGCATATGCCGGCCTGCGGCCTGATGCTAGCAAGGCAGCCCGTGAATAATGAAGCAGAGAGGCAGGCCCGCGCATGCTTCTTCGCATGGAGCGAGATTGGATTGCCGAAGCACGGACACGAAACTGCAAATGCAGACAGCAATCTCGCTCCATGGAATCTGATTGTTGGTCTGACGTGGGCCTTGAAGCCATGTACACAGCGTGTCGGAAGAGTGGCTCCCAGAAGCTCTGGGAACTGGGAACTCAAGCGGTTAGGCGGCTTTGTTCGGAGCCGGAGCCGCCGACAGGCGCATGTGCGCACAGTTGCACAGGCCATAGCCATGGCCGCAAGGGTTCGGCTGAGGCCGATCCTCCGAAACGGGGACTCTCCCTTGCCGTTAATGTATGTTTCACGTTTCCAGATCTCACTGGAACATCTAAGACGTTTGAAGGTGGATGTGGATTTGCATGTGGTCGCACGGCTCGGGCAGCTGAAGTTGCCTCGAGCCTTTCGGCCAATTACTGGCATGGATTCTGTCTCGAGCTTCACTTCGCAGCACCTGACTAGCCTCAGCTCAGTTGTTCATTCCGAATCTCCATGCCTATGCTCGCGGATCGCTCTAATTTGAAACATAGAAGTTTCACTTAGGTAGATCGTCCCTAAGACACGTGTCGCATGCCGTCGAGCAACCCAAAGTTGAAGTCTGCTTCTGCCGTGTCTTTCTTGCTGTGACTCGCGCTGCTGTTGGCTGTGGCCGTTTGCAGTGCTGCCAGCTTTTTGCAGCAAACGTCCGGCTGCGCTTGTCGTCTACTTGCCTTGATGTCGGCGCATGAAGCTTCGGGATTCCTCATGAAAGGTCAGATCGTGCGAGAAGGTTGGAGCATTGATGAGCATTGACTTACCCACATTGGAGGAGTTTGGCCGAGTGTAGACTACACATCCGGGCAAGCAGTGGGCACGCATGGTCTACTCTCGAAGGCCAGCTCTTGCACCCCTAGCTGTAGCTGCTGTCAGTTGGGGTCGGTGCAATGGCATCCACCACCTCACCACGGCCTTCACCCCGTGTTCTCGACCCGGAAGGCGTGACTTTCCACTGGAGGGTTTGGATATGTTCGGATACTCCAGAATAGATCGCGCCATAGATTTCCTTTGGCTACACCGAGATGCTTGAGGAAAGTTGCGCAGTTGCCCGTTTGGCCAAGGCATCCCTTAGGACAGCAGGTCTTTGCATGGCACAAGGTTTGAGACAATGTGCAGGGCTCCTACATAGCAGAGGGTTCTGGCATCAGAGTTCCATAATATGGCAAAGGGGTTTCTGACATGGCGTGCCATAGGACAGGTAGGAGACGGGATGGAGGCACCGTTGATTGCTTGGTTGCTGGCAGAACTTGCTTCAAGGGGTTCCTGAACAGGAAAGAGAGCCAGGCGAGTAGGCCCGGATGAGGAGATCATGTGCAAAGGAGGAATTTGACTCCAGCGCAAACTGTCTTGGTCTGCGTAGTGACTCCGTTTTCTACCCGTGCGTGCTGTTAAGAGCGCTTAAGATGTGCCTTGCTCTGGCAAGGGCTGGGCAAAGGTTTCCCATAGTGCATGGTTTTGAGTGGCAAGGGGTGAGCCATGGTGCGGATTCCCACAGCAGGGAATTCCTCATGGCAACGAATGCTTGTAAAGCAAGGGGTTTGATTCAACATGATTTCTCTGGCGGAGGCTTCCCGTGGCAGGGAGTTTCGTTTGGTAGGAAGGTTTCGCAAGGCAGGCGCATAAATGGCAAGGACGGGTTCCTTGCTACCCTCTTTACACATGTATCTCCTGAGCTGCAAATGATAGGTTTTCTTCCTGAGGAAAGAGGAGTAAAGAGCATAAAAGCGCGGTTCCTCAATACACTTCAGCATCGGATAAAGATCTGGAGTTGCAAAGAGCATCGGATGAGGCAATGCAGCATCGGATCGTTTTTCCAGCAAAAATGTGGCATCGGCTGTCAGTTCTGTGACGCTGGGATGTGCAGAAAACCTTCGCATGTTTTGTCCGGGAAACAGAGCCTTTGAGATTGCTGTTTTGTTAAACTTGATGTTCCGGCGAAAATATCGGGGACAGTTCTGTGGTCCAAAAAGCTTAGCACCATTTGTGGCTTCGATCGTTTGCACACGAGCTTCAGGTGGCGGCTATGGTGCAAGTCAGCCTCAACGCGTGAAGCCTTCAGCCCAGCCGAGTCCGTGACAGTTTACTTGAAAAGTTAAGTTTCGGTAGCAAACGATTCGGCCGGACAGTGGACGCTCATCAGAGCATGTGGAGCTATCATCAGAAGTCCGCCATCTTGTGGTGTTGAGCTTGTGGAAAGACCATTGCGAATTGCTGGCTTGCCTCTTCGGGCGCGTCTGCTGGTTCGAGCTGTAAATTGAGGCTGCGCTTGCGGGCACCTGCTGGTGTCGAGGATGCTCCGGAGGCTAAGCAACCATCTTCAACAGTTGTGCTGTACAGCATGTCGAACCCAGTAATACCCAGTATTCATCCGCTTTGTCTTGGCACTTCGTGTCTCATGCGAAGTGCTTGCTCTTTGTGCCGATGCGTGTTCTGGGGCAGCCGGAGATCTGAGCAACAAGTGGAATGCAGTTGCTGATGTCTGATGTACCCTGGACGCACGTAAACTCGTAGATGAGCATGTCCAGGCTTTTCGTCCAGCGTAGAGATTTGCTGTAACCTGGCGCCCAGACTAGCGTGTTTGTGGCCATGGCCTTCCGTGCATCTTGGGGCAAGCTGCTGGCACCCGCAGCCCTGTGGTGTCTCTCTCGTGCCTTTGTCGCGAAATCGCCAGCGAGTGTTTTAGATCACAGAGCTGCAAGTCATAAAGGCTAAGGCATTGGACTATTGTCGTAGGCTTGTCGGAAGAGATGTAATTTCCGGCGTGTTGTTCCTTGCAAATGCTTGCGGAGTTCGGCGAATTCAGCTCTTTCCATAACTTCCTTTCGCAGACAGAGAGGCCACCGGTGAATTCAAGGGCTGTAGCCATGCCGCATTGAGGTCTGCAACGGGATCCTTCCGACCCTGAACCCCGGACCCATCCTTAGGAGTTAGAGCCTGTTAGCACCTCAGTCCGTGGGCCTCCGTTCTCCTGCAGAACCGCTGTGGAAGGGACAGGCAGAACGTGCACGGCCTCGGATGCTCTTGATCCAAAAACGGATCGTTTCAAGTCAGGGCAATCCCCCCAATAGTCTATAGGTTGATAAAACAAGGTCACCGGCATCGTCAGCGGAGTTCCTGTCATGTCAGGCTGTACTCTCATGTACTCTCCAGCGTCTTTGTTCTTGTCCTTTGACTGCCGATGCCTCTTCAGCGGTGAACTTGATAAAGCGGCCTTGGGGGTTTGGGGGTATGGGAGTTTCCGAAAATTAGGGGTACCTTATTTTGGGGCCCTTATAATAAGGATCCTGCTATTTAGGGTCCTATATTAGGGTCCCCTATTTTCGGAAACTCCCGTATGAAGAGGTAGACTGGACATTGACATGTTGATCGCTGCATAGGCCATGGGCCAGCAGTCTCGAAGCTGCCTCTGTCTATGCATATGCCAACAAGACGCTTTGCCGAGATGGCGCTAAGGGGAAGCGACCGGGTCTTGGCATTCCGAATGTTCAGCTGCGTGCTGCTGGATCTGTGGAGTTTTCCGAAGAGTCTGAGATATGTGGTCCCCAGCCGAATAGGCAGTCGTAGTCTCGCACCGCCTGCCGACATGCCCGTATATGCACATATAGATTGCTCAACAATCTTGTCCTTCCAAGGATGCCTTGGCGGCTTGCGGTGTGCCTTGGACGGCAAGCATCATGCGCCAGACGAGAGCCAAGCTTCCGGCTTTACAACTACCATCCCACCCCCCCGCGAGAACAACGTTAGTTCGCATGTTGTGGCACACTGAAAGGTCTCCCGCACTCGAGCCGGGCAGACCTTGAAGCCACCTGGCAGCAGACAGAGTGTGGCACATAAAGAACATGCAGGGCACTTCATGATATGCTGCCGAACAGAGCCAGGAGCGTGGCATTCTGCAGGAGTCGCCGGCAGACGAACCGTGGTCTCGCCTATAAGAGATGTTCTGGTACAGTTATTCAGACGGAACTCAAGTGCGGGGCGGCTTGGTAGGTTTGCAAACAGTCGTTTTGTCAGTCTTCCCTCTCTCCGCCTCAGTTCGGACAATCACTCTCGCTCGCTCACTCGCTCTGGCCCTCTCTCTGTCTCTGTTGTCTGCAAGCGCTCCGGTCCTGTTTACAACGTCATGCTTCTGGTTTCGCTTTGGTTTGTTGGCTTCCTGTTGGCTCGGGTTGCCCGAAAGATTCTTGCTTTGATCAGAGCCACTTCCGCACTACACGGACTGAAGCCAGAAGCTTAACAAGTGTGACGAAGCGTCAGCACATCTCTGACTGGCTTGGCGATGACGAGCTTTGGAACACTCAGAGATCATGGATCATGGGCTTCACTTCGGTGACGATATCGGAGCTTGGACACCCGAGCATCCATCTAGAGTTGCGTTCAACCCGAATGAGATCGACTCAAGGTCTCTTCTCGTTTCAGCAAGCTGTCATCTCGTCGATACAGGGTATCCATGCGAGAAAGGAGCCGTCTGAAGCTAAGGTCTTGGTGAGTGATTCCTAGCATTGGTGCAAGTGGCTAATGTGCAAAATCCTCATTTTGCTTCTATTTCCCTGGGTTCATGCAACTTTCAGCGTGTCGAAGCACGAAAACCATCTGCCAGCGGCTTGGCTGTCCGTTGTGCACTTGTCCCCCCCACCGCGGGAACAGGGAGTCCACAGAAATTCCGAGCCGCATTGCCAGTCAGACATCGGCCCCACGACGGGAGCAGCTTGATTTTTTTCGGGTTTCCTATGCTTCTTCTGTAGTCTCCGACAGGCAGTTCGCAGAGAATACAGGGCAATCTGAAAGCTCTGAGGCCGCCAGGCTTGTACTCGGGACCCTCGCCTTCCTATGTTCCGGCGCGTACGTCAGTCAGGTAACGTAGTTGCCTTGTGGTTCCATGGAGTCGTCGCCGAGGTGGACGGTCCGCGTCCCGGATGAGGAGGGCTTGCTTGGCGAGCTGTTCCTTGACCGCAAAGCATCGAAGGCCTATCGAAGGCTTATCATGAATTCTGGATTGCTTCAGTTTAAGTGTCACGAGAGCTGTTCATGGAGTTGGGACTGGGCTCCCAAAGCTCCTACTGCCTCCAGAGCCGCTGCCCACAGCTCTACCACCCAAGGAGCGCTGTAACTGTGGCCAAAGCTGCTGCAGCGATTCAAACAGCAGCTGGACAGCAGTCAAACTTGCAGCATGCTGTTGCGGTTGGATAGTATGTGGAGGGGAGACGAAAAGAAGGATAGTCAATAGTCCTGGCCGTTGTGGATGCCTCGTTCCGCTTATCTGATGCATCTTGAGAGACAGGTCAAGTCTAAGTGTCAGTACACAATCCACTGGTTGCTTATCTTCCGATGCCTGAATCTCCTAAGCCACGGCGCCCTAAGCTAAGACGAGAAGGGGCCATGGGCAGAACTGAGTGAATCTCACCATCTCGGTCCCTCAATCGAGACTTTTTCGATCTTCATCTGTCGGTCTTCATTTACGATGCACCTAACGACTTCCAGATGCAATAGGTGGGCTTCGCTGTGCTGCGCGGCGCTTCCGTGCTGCGTTCCGGCGAGCTCTGCGCCGCCCAGGCGGAAGCAGACGAGGCGCAGCAAGCTGCACAGTAGGGGGAAGTGTGAAATGGTGATCTCCAGGCGTCCCATGCAACCATAGAGGCTTGTGCAGCGCGCAACTCAGGCGTTGGAAGAGATCAAGGCGACGGCTCAAAATCTCGGACTCTGGGATGGCAAGTGGTGGGAAGGGGGGAGGGGGAGCCCTCGTTGGGTTGCTAAAAACCGGCCACCAAGAACAACCAGCTGCTTGCGAATCGGTGGGGGTCTCGGTCTTTTTAGATGTATGCAGGAGAGCAGATAGAGGAAGATATAAGAAGTAGAATTGTGCAGGTCATGGAGGGCGCGGCCGCAAGTGAAATGCATGTGGCGGCTTCGCTTCTCAAAAGGTCCTTTTAAGTCTGTTTTTCCCCTGAAACCGCTCAAATGCTTATGCTGTGAAGGATTCCTGCATCTGCAAGCCTAGAATTAGAGACCTGCCGTGTAACTTTTGTTCGCATTCATCTGCTTCCAAGAGACGCCTGATGTTCAAGCGTTGGAACCGAGCGCACTCAGACTATCAGAGTCTACTCGATCCGAGGGCGTTTCTTCTTTAAGCGGTAGACACGTGTTCAGAAACAAATTCAAATCCCTGAAGGCATCTTGAGGCCTGTAGCCGGCTTCTGCTCTGACTTCGAAGGCATTTGAGCGCTCAAATACTCTCAAATGCTTTAGGATGTCGAATTCCCCTAAAAAGGCTTGTTAAGACACCGAAACAGGGAGAGAGGTAGGGAAGGAGGGAGGCAGGGCATGACCTCAGGAATTGTGCCCTGGTAGACAGAGGTCTTGTTCTGATGCCTCTTGACACATTGGCGCTTTGCACGAAACGCCTGCTTGCTTGCAGCCACGGTTCTGCTGCCAACTTTGGTGGCATGGCCACAGGCACACACAGAACAGCTTGAGCAGTTAGCAAGCATCCGTCATTCAAGCTTTGCAAAAGGCTGGTGCAAACATGCGGCGAAACGTCCCCGCTCAAATTCGTATGCCGATGTCTCTGCTTGGGGGGTCCTTTTTCAGGAAACCTCTTTAAATTTCTGCGAGAATCGCAATACATGGAAGTGTAGCTGAGGGCATGACTCGACGTGACAACGACAAGCGGCGCCGCCGTGAGGACAAACGCGAGGCTGGGAGAGGGTGCACGACGCGAGAATACAGACAGAGAGAGGGAGTGAGAGAGGGACATACAGGGAGGGGCGGCTGCTTTTCTTTCTTTTTTCTCGTGGTAGGCTCTCAAGCTCGGCCAGCACGTTTGGCACCCAGTTTCTGCATGACAATTGTGGTGTGCTACTGTCGCCTGGGGGGCCCAGTACTGTATCGTCTTCGTCACAGTTGGTGCGGGGGAGGGGGGGGGAGGGGGGGGGGATCGGCTTGTTTTCGTTGGTTGTTTCTTTCCCTTCTAGGTGATCCAATTTCCATCACGCGGTGCGTGTCAGAAAGCACCTTTCGGAGGTTCGTGGCCCGGTTGCCGATTTATCATGCCTGTCGTGTTGGTTGAGGTTGCTCGACAAAGCGCAGCAAAGTGCTCGGGCCGCAGTGGGTGGGGTTTTCTCGCGGTGTTTGTTTTGTTCGTTTGATTCGTTGGAAGGAGGATCAACTGCACGAAGTGCGAAAAAAGATGGAAAAGGCATGGCGGGGGATGCGTTTTTGGGCGAGGGCATTCGAGTACATTCTTTTCGAGGAGAAGAGCCAAGCTGAGGCCGCGGTAGCGGCCTCGGCCAGATATTCATTGCGTGTGGTGAGCATGTGCGCGTGTGTGGAGAGGGCACACGAGCACATTCTGTTTCCAGGAGAAGCGCGCTGCTCAAGCCGCTGTCGAGGCCTCATCTATTCATCGCGTGTGGTGACCTTGTGCGTGTGTGTGTGTGTGTGTGTGTGTTTGTGTGTGTGTGTGTGTGCTTGTGTATGTGCGTGTGTGTTGTTTTTTTTGTGTTTGTGTCTGTGTGTATGTTTGTGTGCGTGTGCAGGAGCCCAATGGCGATGATCAGGTTGGAAAGCGGGGAGGGTAGAATACCGAGCGAGAGACAGAGAGAGAGAGAGAGAGAGAGAGAGAGAGAGAGAGAGAGAGAGAGAGAGAAAGAGAGAGACAGAGCAGTAGCCATTTTGGCTCAAGTGCTGCACCTTTGCTCGGGTGGCCTGTGACGCCCCCGTGCATCGGGGAGGGAGGTGGCTGGTTGACTCAGGGTGTCTCCCTGGGGGAGCCACACCACTTTTCTCCAGCGGTGCTTGAGTCCTCCGGCCGCCGCATTTCTCATCAAGTGGCCCTGTCAGGGATAGCCGCGTTGCAGCTATATCCGTGTACGGCAAGTTCGAACCTCTACGTCCTTGTGGGGGACCTAACAACTGCAAGAGCTTCTTCCTCACCACCTTAAAGCAGAGGGGGAAAGAGGTCTTCTTCGTCGAGGCCACCGCTCCCAAAGCCGCGGTGATCACAAAGTACCTCCTGACTGGGCGGGGGAGTACAACACCGTCACGGTCGTGACTGTGGCAAGGACGGGGAGATAGTGACGTGTGCCTACGACCGCTGGAGCCATGAACCGCCATGGGGGAGGGGGGGAGGAAGATGTGCAAACTCCCATCTGCCGCTTGTGCCGCTTTGCGCATGGCGTGTGCACCGCAGGGTACAGAAAGACCCATGAAAGACGAGACCCACAATGCCGACTGCACGGGGTGACGGAACGGGGGACGCGCCACGCAATCCCCCAGACCGTGCCCTTGCCGAGCGCACCGAAGACAAGGCCAGCTGAGGGGACAGATGGAGGGGAAGCCGCGACTACTCTTTTCAGCACCAGAAAGGGACTGCACCTCAACTTCCCGGCGGGGGAACTCGATAACTGGATCCACAGCGAAGTCACCGAGAACATGGACGGCACCCTCACGAACCTCAAGACGGGGGAAGCACTGACAGAACAAGCAGCAGCCGACTACAGACGATACCAAGAGCGCCTGAACCAAAGGCGGAAACTTGGGGGGAAGGCCGATCGGCTCGTGAAGATCGCCGACCGCTACCTTCCGGAGGTCTCCCAAGAGACGCGGGTGTATGCAATGAAGCACCCAGACCGTGTACCCGACCTGCTGAAGCGTGCGTGAAAGAGCAGGAGCCGCATAAGAGCAAGAAGGCAGGGGGATGCAAACGCCACACCGGCGACTACTACCACGACACACCAGAGGAGGGCGCAGGGGGAAGTTTCCAAGAGCGTGCGAAAAAGGCCAATGAGTCAGCTGGGGGAAGAATGGCCAGCCACTACAGCAGCGATGCCAACCACGAGGGCCCAGCCAAGTCGAGACGATGACCGTGGAGACACAGAGAGCCCACCTGACTGGGGGGGAAGCAACCCCGAAACACCTCGTGATGACCAAGTGGAGGGGGAAAGCCAACCACATGCCTCAGCCAACGAAGGGAGAGACGCAAACTGGCCGTGGGGGCCACATGGAAGGCCTTCGGACACGGGCCAAAGTCGGGGGATGCTTGCCGCTCGTCCCGCTGAACCCGGCGAGCGAGTCCAGCTGAAGCCCAACAGCCGCTGGAGAGCAGTGCAACGTGTTCAAGAACACATGCAACGCTTCGGGGGAGAACCAAGCGAGACCGAGTCACGAAGCAGTTGGAGGGAGTGACGCCAAGGAGCCGCAGTGAGCAAAGTGAGCGCGGAAAAAGTTTTTCAAAATTTCAGTGTGAGGGGGAGAGAGGGGTGAAGTGCCTTGTAGAGCTCCTCTTTCCTTGCCCCTTTTCCACAGAGCCAGAGGGGAGAGAAGAGCCGCTTGTTTCGCGGGGGTGCTGTGTTTTGTTCCCGGCCCTCCTCTTCCCTAAGGTGCTAGTGGGGGATCTTTTGCAAAACCAGCCCTGCCGGGGGAATGCACATGCCTTGTACCATACGCGTTACATACTACATTCTTTTAACCACCATTGCCAACATGGCAAAGTCGTTCCGTCCCTGTACAATTCGCTGCAATGCCGTCACCTATGTGACGAAGTCCGATCCGCCTCTATGCCAAAATTCAAAGCTTCCTCCCGCTCCTGGCGGGGGGGGCTACAATTCGACCGGCACTTTACAGGCCCCCCCGAACCAGATCACAACTAAGGATAATGCCGTAGGGGCGCGGTGATGAGGCGGGGGTTGTGTCGTGTTTAGAGTTCGGGGGGTTTTCCTGTTTACACCTCGGGGCCTATTTTGTTTTTCGTTGCCTAATCTGGAAAGACCCCTTTACCAGCCACTCCATAAACACAGAGTGTGGCTGGGCGGGCTGAAAGCCTGGGGGGCGCTTGCGCGACCCTTACGCCCTGCAGAAAGAAAGAAAAGAGACAGAGCAGGAGAGAGAGAGAGAGAGAGAGAGAGAGAGAGAGAGAGAGAGAGAGAAAGAGAGAGCGAGAGAGAGAGAGAGAGAGAGAGAGAGAGAGATGAAAACGGAACGTGGATGCATGGCTTTGTATTGGCGGTTCTCGAGGACACGTTGCCTGCGAACCCGAAGCACAAGGCATGGGACTTGGGAACGTGGATGCCTGGCTTTGTATTGGCGGTTCTCGAGGACAAGAACTCCGCGAGGCCCAAACTCAGGGCATGGGGCTTGGTTGTGTCCGCGTAGAGAGAGCGTGGGGACGTTATGTAGCATGGGCATTCGAGCACATTCTGTTTCGAGGAAAAGCGCCGATCCGAGGCCGCGGTTGCGGCCTCAGCGAGACATTCATTGCGCGTGGTGAGCATGTGCTTGTGTGTTCGTGTTTGTCTGTGTGTGTGTGTGCGTGCAGGAGCCCAATGGCGATGGTCGGGTCGGAGAGCGGGGGGGTGGGCCACCAAGCACACGCCTCCACGATGGCGGTGGCGGGCCTTCATTTGCTTCTTTCTGAAGGCTTAGGGGGTACGAAGCGGTGCATGTATTTTGATCGCAAGTGCTGGAGTGTGGGTTGCCGGCATGAGCGAGATGAGTCATGGAACCCGTATCTGGCTACTAGGATTGGCGAGGCGAGTCATCCTGGGCCAGGCGCCTCTACGGCATCCTCTTCTCTTTAACCTCGCGCAGGAGATGAAGGCGATGAAGGACTTGGTGGCCAAGTTCATGGACCCGAAGGCTGCTGGACCGGTTCAGGCAGTGGCTCCAAAGCTGAGAAGGCGGCGCAAGCTTAGGTATCGAC